TAGGTATGTTTTCTGGCCTTCTACGCCTTTCGTTAGTGGTCCCGCGAGGCCAACACCCATCCTCAATTCGGAGGTACGGCATCCCCTCGGTCCAATTCATAGCTAGCCGCCTCGCTTGATTGTATAGAGAGGGCCTCACCTGTCACTCCCATTCTGTCTTACGCTTTTACGAGTCACGGAGAGGCCATCACCCTGCCATAATGCCAATGGCCATGTACCCCATTACAATCCCTGTAGGGTTCCCTAAATTTCGCCATGAAAATAATTCCACAGGGGAGAGAGTTCATATCCCGTTTGCTTAGGCTATTTCCCCTGTTTCACTCTGATACCACCCGCATTACGTTAGACATACATGCCACCGCTGACCTACATATATGGAGAGAATTTTTGCTAAATTGGAATGGGAAAAGCATTTTTATCCCGGTATGGTCAGATAAGTCAGTGTCATTATGGACGGATGCCGCTGCCACGTCAGGTTTCGCAGCTATTTCTGGCAATGAATGGATGTGGGGTAAGTGGCCAGGGGAAATTACTGCAATCCCCAAGTTCAAAGACACATCAGCCTTATTCGAGCTCTACCCCATTGTGGCAGTAGCAGTTAAGTGGGGAGCTGGCTGGTCTGGGACAAAATGCTTCTCGGACAACATGGCAACGTGCCATATTGTAAACAAGGGTCTTTCCTCTTCCCTGGCCATCATGCGGTTTATGAGGACTCTCACTTGGCTAGCTGCTAAACACAGTTTTCTTTTAACTTGCTTTCATGTGCCTGGGGTTCTCATATCGCTGCTGATCACTTATCAAGGTCTCGGTTTCAGGAGTTCCCGGCAACACTACCAACAGCTACCCCGACTCCAGCACCTCAGTGGCAGGAATTGGTTTGGGACTAAAAGAATTGCTCTATCAAGGGCAACTTTTGCAACTCGGTCTTTCCAATAACACCAGGAAAGCATATGGCAGAGCTTATCATGTTTGCAATAAATTCTTGCTGGACTTTAATGTCACTGGCCAATTCTCCATTGAGACTATCATCGCATTTATTTCTTTTTGCCACCTTCATCTGACACTATTCAACATCACGTCCTCACAACCTGGCCTAATAGACAACGATTTCTGTCATCCTACCAAGTTAAAGCCATACTAAAAGGTATTAAAGACTCCACCCCTATACCCTCACCGTCCAGACTACCCATTCACGATCTTTTGTTTCAGTCTCTATCCAATCTGCTAGACACCTCACCATTCGAGGCCCATACAAACCATGTAATTAAAACAGCCATCTATTTGGCTTTTTACGGTTTTCTTAGGCCCAAAGAGTTCACCACTACTAACTATAACTCCCCTAACGTCATCACTAGGTCGAATCTGGTAAAAGTACAAGATCACTACGTGCTATCCCTACACCATACCAAAACTACTGCTAAAGGACAGACTGTCACTATCACCTATTACTCCACTAACAATAATTGGTGTCCGGTGGAAGTTTTCGACAAATACCTTTCCTCTTGTACCATAGCCCCTACACAACCACTCCTTACGTTACACGGTAACAAGCTAATAACGAGTAAATTCATGGTGTATGTTAGGATGTTGTTGGTCCGTTTAGGATTAAACCCAGCAAATTACTCTGGTCACTCATTTAGAATAGGAGCCGCCACTACAGCTTCTAAGAAAAATATTTCGGCTCACATAACTAAAATTTTAGGCCGGTGGAAGTCCACGGCTTACACAAGATACATCCCTCAGCCTATACAAGAACTGCGCTTAGCATTCAAGACCATGAATATGTGATATGCTATGATATATTTGTAGGATGAATAAACTGGTTATATCTTTTTTTTGCCCTCTTTTATTTCAGGCCTACTGCCTCGTCAGTTCCGGCACACCACAACTGACATTTCCATTCACTGTTTGTCTTATGTTACTAATACTACGGCTTTATTCCGTGACCACAAATGGAAGGCGTGGCCTGAAGTTGTGGGAGGGGCTTGGTTCCCCTTCTTAAGGAGCACCAGCCCTTCCCTCATTACCTGTTAGGTCTGGCGAGTTGCCCTTCCCACCACACCTCCTTTTTAGCATTTAACACTTCATAAGGTAGGCCCTCTTTTATTTCAGGCCTACTGCCTCGTCAGTTCCGGCACACCACAACTGACATTTCCATTCACTGTTTGTCTTATGTTACTAATACTACGGCTTTATGCCGTGACCACAAATAGATATATATATATATACATAAGTGTATACGTATATATCAAATAAACACACTATCTACACAACCAGTATTTAATAGTGAAAGTGTGTAGCGCTCAATAATAGTCATTTACTCCCCAACAATTCTTAGGGGTGTGTAAGATGCTTGGGTAGTCTTGAGTCCAACTGCAGTATATTCCTCAAAAAGAAGAGAAACAAAACAGGGGAAACTGGTGTTGAAATCCTTATGGTAGCAATATATAATTTGTAAATAAAGGTGAAGGTTACTTCTCTCTGGGTGAGAGCCTATGACCTTGCTCTGAGTATATGGGCTCGTGAGTCCTTTTTAGAGATGACTCCTTCCCTCTTTCAGCAGGATAGAAGGTATACCAGATGTATGCAATCCAATAAAAATTAATTTATTCCATAAACATTAAAGCGGCACTGTCATGCCGAATCCTGTTTTTTTTTTTTAACCCCCCTTCCGCCTCCACTATCTCTAATTGACCGACTAGCCACCCCCAAATGCCCCTAAGCCCTCCATATTACCTATTTATTATTCTTTATGTTCTGCCCCGATCTTTATTCAGGGCGCCGCCATCTTTGTGGTGGGTAGAGGAAGTGCCTGTGGGACAGACAGATGAATGAATAGAAATGTCAGACGAACAAACTAACACTGTGTATCAGTGTATCAGTGTTCGTTTGTTCGTTCAGTTTATTACAAGGAGGGAGCTACCGGCACGCAGCTCCCTCCTTGTAATATGTAAAGATAGTAGCGGCAGGGAGCAGTGCTCCCCACCACTTCATAAGCCCCCCAGGTCGCCCCTCACTCTATGGGGGTCAATAAGACCCCCATAATAGCACAAGGGAGATTAAAATCTCCCCAATGCCCCTCCTCGCAATACCACGAGTAGGGGCATGTCCACTAAACAGTGAGCAGCTGTGGCAGCGGGTGGGGGCCATAATGATAATGAGGGGGGCGACCTACTGAAAAATGAAGATTTGAGAAAAAAGAAGACGTTGAATGGTAAGTTTAATTTTACTTTACAGGTTAGTTATTTTATTCCCCCCTCACTATTTTTTAGGTGACTTTTTTATTTGTGAGGGGGGGTGGGTGACTAGGGTCTTGGGGACCCCTAGCCACCCTTGATGGGGGGGTGAATTTGACTTAGGGCCCCCACCCACCGCCCAGGGGTGGGGGCCGGGGGGAGGACAGTAGGTCCCCCCCTCATTATCTTTATGGCCCCCACCCGCCGCCAGGGGTGGGGGCCGGAGGGGTGGTGGACAGTAGGTCCCCCCTTCATTATCCTTATGACCCCCACCCACCGTGCAGGGGTGGGGGCCAGGGGGGGACAATAGGTCTCCCCCCTTATTTTACATTAGGGCCCCCACCCGTCGTTTAGGGGTGGGGGCCAATATTTTTTTATTTTTTTATTTTTTTTACAGTGAGCAGCCACAGTCTTACTTAGTATTAGTAAATGTGGCTGAAAGACCAATGTAGGTCTTTCAGCCTTTTAGTAGATAACTCTACTATCTACTAAGCGGCTGCAAGATGCAGCCACAGCATGAATAGGATCAGAGTTTCATTCATTCGAATGAAATCCCGATCCGAATAAAGTGCCAAATTGCGTTCTAAAACAAACGAACATACTGTTCTCATTCAGTTAGAACGCAATTCGGGAGTTTCGTGTAAAATGACAGGAAGCATCGCGGGAACACAGTGGAAAGGTAAGAATTATGGGAAAATTGCTCTGACCAGCGGAAATGAAGCACACTTTGCTCCTCCGCTAGTCAGAGCTGGTCAAGCGGAGGAATCCTCCATAAGGCAAAGAGTCCCTACTTCGTCTTATGATTTTAAAGAAAACTAAAGAAGACAGGAAGAAAAGATCCTGAGAGAGGGGGAGAAGAGGAAGAGATTGAGGAAAGGTAAGTTCGGCATGACAGTGCCGCTTTAAGAAAAATCTATAAAATACATACAATACACTGGTGACTGTCCAAAACGCGTTTCGCCGATTCCTCTCGACTTTCTCAATTGGTAACTTCCATCCTGCTTCATTCCGATTAAAATCCCCGCCTCCCATCCGGATTGGTGGAAACAAACCATATTCCAACCAATCACAGATGTTCCTGTAGAGGAGTATGGAAATCTCCAGCTGAACTGCTTTATCCCTTATTAGTGACGTCATCACGCACGTAGATATGGTGGAGCGCGTGACGTCACTTCCGGGAATCTGAAAAGTCTGTATTCACCCCACTAGTTTGTGATGTCTCTTCCAGGTCACGTAGGGTTCAACCAACGTCATTTCCTGCGATGCAAATTCGCTATCAAGTTCCTTAGTCCATAGAGGGTAGTTCCACCATTTCACTGAAGGGCATAGTGCTGGCAATTACACATCCATAATAATGTCCATGTTCTTCTTTTATTTCTAAGGCAATATGCTCATATTCGAGCATTTTAAAGACACAAGCAACAAAATATAAACAATTAGTATATTCATCCACTCCAAACACTAAATACATTAAAGGGCCACTTTTAACATCCCCACCAAAAACAATCCAAAGTCAGTGCAAAAAGTTATTTTAATGATGATTTTACCACCACTGAGTTAACAGATTCTACTCTAAATAAAAAATTTCATAAATCTTAAAAATTAAATTTTAAAAATAACTCTTCATAATAAAATATACTAATAAGCCACCACATGCAATAGGTTTCAGGCTCTCTCCACACCCCTAGCGGATGAGGATTTTTGGCACAGACAAGTGAGGGGACGACGCAAGGAGTCTCCAGTGCCCTGACCATCTCCAGGAAAATGGAGACGCAGTATAGAAGAAGGGGAGCAAGAGGAGGAACATTTCTACAGAAAAGAAAAGAGAGAAAGACATCCAAACAAAATGGAATCTTCAATCTTTCACAAAAGGAATTAACTAAGCCTCAAATGAGTCTACTAGCCAAGGGTCTGAAATTTGCTCCAACTAAGCCAATAGACAAATTTAGTGTGTATTTAGACCTTAATCGATTTAAACGTAAGCTTTGTCTAAAAAATTTTTTTTTTAAACATCCAGTTACTTATAACCCTATAGGTATTTACGAGTCAGATATTATCCATACAGACCTAAAAGAGAACTCCATCTTCTTTCCTCGCCATTTTATTTTTGAAGAAATGACGACGTTCGAAAAGATGGTAATGAGCGATATCAACAAAATTAAGAAACCTAAGTCAGGCAATTATAATTTGAATATTTATGAGAGACAGGCTTTGAGGGAACTACGAGAAGATGAGTCCTTAGTAATTAAACCAGCCAATAAGGGGGGGGGGATTGTAATTCTAGATGTTGATGACTATAATAAAGAGGCGCAGAGACTGTTGAGTGACGAACAAACATATCGTATTTTGAAAACTAATCCTACTAAAGAGATTAAATTAAGTTATAACAATTTAATTGAGAAAGGCAAAATTTTAAACATCTTAAAACAGAAGCAGTATAAGTTTTTAAATGTACAACATCCCAAAATTCCTGTATTTTATTATTTTCCACATAAAAATAAAGATAGACCTCCCGGAAGACCAATAGCTTCCGGGATAGGGTCAGTCTCTAGCAAATTATCTCAATATATCGATAGATGTTTACAGCCCATTGTTTGCACATGTCCCAGCTACCTCAAGGATACCATTAATATATTACAGATAATCAGAGATGTAGAATGGAAAGAAAATTACTACCTCGTAACTGCAGATGTCAATTCTCTGTATACAATAATTTCTCATACGAGAGGATGTAACGCAACAAAGCACTTTTTAGAATTTTCCAAAAAATTCCCACAAACACAAATAGATTTTATTATAGAAGGGATACATTGGATTTTAACCAATTATTATTTTTGCTATAGGGAACAATTTTTTTATCTGGCGATGGGCACGAGGTCCACGCCCAGCTATGCAAATTTATTTATGTCTCGTTGGGAACAAGAATTTATCTATAATGACCATAGATGGGATGCGAACCTCATGACCTATCGCCGTTACATCGATGATATATTTTTTATCTGGGTTGGAGATGAGACATCATTGAAACTGTTTTTAAGTCACCTTAATACAAATGAATGGGGCATTAAACTCACAAGTAATTTTAGCAAGAATGCCGTGGAATTTTTAGATCTTAATATTTATGTGGAGCAAAATGTTTAAAGACTTGCACCCATTTCAAGAAGGTTGACATTAATAGTTACAAAGGGGAGAACAGTTGCCATTTCTCCCATTGGCTGTTAAATGCTCCTAAGGCGCAATTACTTAGGATTAAAAGAAATTGCACAGATCAACATAAATTTCACGAACAGTCGGAGAAAATGATTAACGATTTTAAAGAAAAGGGATACAAAGATGGACTTTTAGAGAAAGCCCTTTCTGAAGTAGAGAATGAGGACAGGATAAAACTAATAGAATATAAAGGTATTAAGGATAATATAGAACCACAAAATCTAAAATTCATTTGTGATTTTAACCACAATGGTGGACGTCTTAAGAAGATTATTCGGAAATACTGGCCAGTATTAAAGAATGATTCGGTTTTGAACTCGATACTTCCTAACACACCTGATATAGTGTATAGAGGTGTACCAAACCTTAAAAGCACCCTAGTTAAAAACCATATACCATCGAGAAAATTGACAAATCCATTTTTTAAAGAGAAGTTCGGTTTTTATGGATGCGGCATGTGTGGAGCATGCAAAGGTTCTAAAAATGGTAAAAGAGTAGTAAGGGAGTTTTGTCATCCACAAGAGAAAAACAAAAAATTCAAAATCAAACAGGTCATTACTTGTCACTCAACTAAAGTAATCTACATGATCACATGCCCTTGCGGGCTAGCATATGTAGGGAGGACCACTAGATCTCTTAATACTAGAATCCAGGAACATGTTAGGAACATTAAAAATGGGTTTCTAAAACATAGCGTATCTTTGCACTTTAAAAGCCATCACAATAGTAATCCATATTTGATGGAATTTATGTGAATCCAAAAAGTAATTGGAAATTGGAGAGGTGATGATTCCATTAAACAAATTGGACAAACAGAGATGAGATGGATTTTTAATTTGAACACCACGCAACCCTATGGTCTTAATGATGATTTTGAAATATGCCACTTTTTCTAATGATTTTTAAAGTTTTTTATTTTTTATTTATTATTTTTTATTGTAAAATATCTTCTAACACTGATTATTAGTATATTTTATTATGAAGTTATTTTTAAAATTTAATTTTTAAGATTTATGAAATTTTTTATTGAGAGTAGAATCTGTTAACTCAGTGGTGGTAAAATCATTATTAAAATAACTTTTTGCACTGACTTTGGATTGTTTTTGGTGGGGATGTTAAAAGTGGCCCTTTAATGTATTTAGTGTTTGGAGTGGATGAAAATACTAATTGTTTATATTTTGTTGCTTGTGTCTTTAAAATGCTCGAATATGATCATATTGCCTTAGAAATAAAAGAAGAACATGGACATTATTATGGATGTGTAATTGCCAGCACTATGCCCTTCAGTGAAATGGTGGAACTACCCTCTATGGACTAAGGAACTTGATAGAGAATTTGCATCGCTGGAAATGATGTTGGTTGAACCCTATGTGACCTGGAAGAGACATCACAAACTAGTGGGGTGAATACAGACTTTTCAGATTCCCGGAAGTGACGTCACGCACACCACCATATCTACGTGCGTGATGACGTCACTAATAAGGGATAAAGCAGTTCAGCTGGAGATTTCCATACTCCCCCACAGGAACGTCCGTGATTGGTTGGAATATGGTTTGTTTCCACCAATCCGGACGGGAGGCAGGGATTTTAATCGGAATGAAGCAGGATGGAAGTTACCAATTGAGAAAGCCGAGAGGAATCGGCGAAACGCGTTTTGAACAGTCACTAGTGTATTGTATGTATTTTATTGATTTTTCTTAATGTTTATGGAATAAATTAATTTTTATTGGATTGCATACATCTGGTATACCTTCTATCCTCCTGAAAGAAGGAAGGAGTCATCCCTAAAAAGGACTCACGAGCCCATATACTCAAAGCCAGGTCATAGGCTCTCCCCCAGGTGAGAAGTAACCTTCACCTTTATTTACAAATTATATATTGCTACCACAAGGATTTCAACACCAGGCGAGTTTCCCCTGTTTTGTTTCTCTTCTTTTTGAGGAATATACTGCAGTTGGACTCAAGACTACCCAAGCATCTTACACACCCCTAAGAATTGTTGGGGAGTAAATGACTATTATTGAGCGCTACACACTTTCACTATTACATACTGGTTGTGTATATAGTGTGTTTATTTGATTGAATTACGGTAGGATTGGAGAGTTCCTATTTTTGTGTGAGAGCTGCTACATTAAGAGCACCTGTTGGAATTTGTTTTAAGCGCCTGTTAACACAGAGTACCTTGTAAATTTGTTGATATACGTATATATCACTATATATATACCTATATATAAATTTAAAACATTTAAAAAGTTATATACACACACATATATATATATATTTATATATATATATATATATATATATACACACGTATATGTATAATAATTCTACGTATATATTTATGTAATACATTTACATAATTAGGTCATTTTATTAATTACAATTTGCGGGACCTGCCTGACAACCCAGGCCAAAAGTCCAGGGAATTTAATTTGCTAGCACTATATTTAACCCTGTAACTTTCCAAGACACCCTAAAACCTGTACATGGGGGGGTGCTGTTTTATTTGGAAGACTTTGCTGAACACAAATACTAGTGTTTCAAAACAGTAAAATGTATTACAACGATGATATTGTCAGTGAATGTGAAAATGTTTGCATTTTTCACACACAAATGGCACTTACACGGACGATACAATTGTTGTGATATGTTTTACTGTTTTGAAACACTAATATTTGTGTTCAGTGAAGTATCCCGAGTAAAACAGTAGCCCTCATGTACAGGTTTTATGGTGTTTTCAAAAGTAACAGAGTTAACTATAAGGCATGCGTTTCAGTTTTTTCACATCGAAATTCGCCTGATTGGTTACGTTGCCTTTGAGACCGTATGGTAGCCCAGGAATGAAAATTACCCCCTTGATGGCATACCATTTGCAATAGTAGACAACCCAAGGTATTGCAAATGGGGTATGTCCAGTCTTTTTTAGTAGCCACTTAGCCACAAACACTGGCCAAAATTAATTTTTTGCATTTTTCACACACAAACTAATATTAACACTAACTTTGGCCAGTGGTCTTCCAGATTTTTGCATTGAAACACAGAAACATAGAATGTGATGGCAGAAAAAAACCATTCGGCCCATCTAGTCTACCCAATTTTCAAAATACTTTAATTAGTCCCCAGCCTTATCTTAAGTCTAGGATAACCTTATGCCTATCCCACGCATGCTTAAACTCCTTTACTGTGTTAACCTCTACCACTTCAGCTGGAAGGCTATTCCATGCTTCCACTACCCTCTCTGTAAAGTAATACTTTCTGAAATTATTTTTAAATCTTTGCCCCTCTAATTTAAGACTATGTCCTCTTGTTGTGGTAGTTTTTCTTCTTTCAAAAATAGTCCCCTCCTTTACTGTGTTAATTCCCTTTAAGTATTTAAATGTTTATATCATATCCCCCTGTCTCATCTTTCCTCCAAGTTATACATGTTGAGATCCTTTAACCTTTCATGGTGAGTTTTACCCTGCAAACCATGAACCAGTTTATTAGCCTTTCTCTGAACTATTTCCAAAGTATAAATATCCTTCTGAAGATACGGACTTCCCTAACCCTGTTACTAACTCTACCCCTAAACCTACCCTAACCCTTAACGTACCCCTAACCCTACCATAACCCTACTCCTAACCCTAACCCTGCTCAAACCCATCCCTAACCCTAACCCTATTATAACCCTACTCCCAACCTAACCCTAACCCTACCCTTACACGAAGTGCCAAAGTTCCGAAGTGCCGAACCGAACTGCCGAAGTCATGAAGCCGAATATTTTTCCCATGCACATCCCTAATACCTGAAGCCGAATATTTTTCCCATGCACATCCCTAATACCTTACCATCAATACCTTCTGCAATTTCACTAATAAAAATATTAAAGAGAATGGATCCAAGTATAGATCCCTGAGGTACCCCATTGGTAACTAGACCTTGCTTTGAATATACTCCATTGACTACAACCCTCTGTTGCCTGTC